GCCCGAGCTGCTCTAGCGTGCTAACCTGTGTGTGTGGCGGAACTCCGCCGTGCGCGATACAGAGAGCAGAGGAGAATTGTTAACGCCTGACCATGTAGAGACAGAAATGACACGATGACATAACACCATAAATAGTATATTGTTATGTTATTATATGAAGCGTCCGTCGCACAAAATAATATCAATGGGGGCTGTGGGCAGGACATTGTTACACAGCTGTGCCTGTGACTTCAGGCAGAGAGACCACTGCATCAGAGCAGAAGAGCACGTTTTAAAATACATTTATTTTATCAGTTATTAACTTTTACTATTTTTAGCAACTTGCCCGATCGGGCAAGTGAGTTGTTAGTTTACATGCCCAACCGCGAGTTTTACTTGCCCCGGGCAATCGGGCAATCCTTATTGTTGAGCCCTGATGATTATCTTATATAATGTTATTACTATCCTAAAACATTCTCCAGGTCCTCTGAAACTCTGCAGGACTTGAGCCTCTTTCACACAGAGCTTTCGCGGCGCCCACCGCGGGGTAGGGCGCAGAGGACAGGATTTGGGGGAGTACAGGCTCGTTCAGGAGCTACAGCTCCATGGTGACTGCTTTCGGGTCTACTTCAGGCTCTTCTCTGCTATTGGAGGCGTGGCGCCGAGGTGTCGTCACAGCGCATTGCGGTGAAATTAAAAAAATTTCAATTCGAGCGCAGGCTGGCGGTGTGCACCGCTCAGCTTGGCGGTAGAGCAGTGTGCTCTTGCGCCGCGGTAGCACATATACAATGAATGGGTTCGTCGGCGGAGGTCTGCGCTTTGCGCGCTCTGCTTTATTTCCACCCTGCCCAGCAGCAGTACCGTGGCGAACAGTGCCTAAAGCGGTCTTCACATGATAAGAACAACGCGCTTCACTCACTGCCAGGTGCGGCGCAGCGGCACGGTCAAAGTTCAAATAATTTCAACTCTGAGCGCAGCGCTCGGGCGGTGCGTGACACCAAGGGTAGCGGCGCCGCCCTCTCCATAGACAAACAATGGGACAGCCAGCGCAAAGCAGTTTTACAGCTGATCATGTGTAGAGGCCTTTACACATGACTATGGAGAGGGCTATGGAGAGGGCAGCAACGCCTGACAAAGCAGCACCGCTACCCTTGGCATCGCACACGATATTCATTGTGCCGACAGTGGCTTGGAAAACCGCTCATAACCGTGTCACACGGGGAAGAGGAAAGAGGGAAGGTGGCTGGAGTTCCTCCAACATTTGCGGTTAGATTATCATATTTTTTTACTGACAAAAATATAGGCTGCTTCAGCTGATTTTTTTATGCGCACATGTGCCCCTAAATATTTTTTACAGTTCGCACACACCTATTTTTAGTCGCAAATGCGAGTGAAATGCTCGCACTGTTGAGCCATGGCAATCACTGTGTAAAAAATCAAATTAAGTTATAGACAGTATGGAGTAAACTGACTACATGTGTTGTTTGCCAAAAGTCCTTTATAGTAACCATACGTCTCTAGATTAGTCAGCTATAAGTCTAATGAGATGATCATTAGATGTGGTTTAATTAGAAATTTCAATGGTTAACCATTAATCCGTCAATCGGCAAGAAACTTTTTGACCCTATGTCGGTCTATAGCTTAATTTCCCCCCTTTTCAGTTTAGTAGCGGTGCCAAAACTATGTCAGTGTTTCCCCCACCTTTATATTTGGGTCTGTCTCTACATAGTCTGAGTGGGCGTAAGTTCGCTGCATAGATCAGCCTCTCATTGGAGGGAACGAGCCACCCACTGAAGTCCCGCCCTACCACCTCCGGTTGTGTAGCAGTTTTCAACCGTTTTCAACACGTCCTTTACTAACTTTTGCGGTGTTTGATCTTGTGGGGATGTAGCCATTTTTCTGCCATGGTTCGCGTCCTGTAGGCGATATTTTTGTGGGCGTGTTGCACCAAAACCTGTTTCTCCCCAGCAATATTTTTGCAAGCGCACCGTTGCTGTGGCACCGCCAAGAACGATTGTGATTGGTTGAAAGAAATACAAGCAGCCGGGGCGTTTTTTTCTCCAATCTCAAAGTGAGAGTCGGCCCAGCCAGAGCTTTCTTTTCTTGAGAAAGGTCTGGTGAGCGAGACTAGTCTCTATATGGTTGCGCATTTACAATTCTCCTCTGACCATCAAAAGACGGCTGTTAGGCACAGTCAAACACGGTGCTGGCACAGCAGCGCAGCACGGCACTGTACACACTCAATTGGAGCGGGGCCTGTGTTGCATTCAGGCGTTGTCATGTAAAAAAACAAATTCCAGCACTTGACTAGGCCATAGCACAACACAGCAGCATGTCAAGTGGGCCGAACCCGAACTTAGCCCAAGCAAAACTTTTATTTTGTTATTCCCCACTAACCAGTTAGTTACCAATTAATGAGTGTTGGGCTACGGAAAGCGAAGTGAACCAAAACTGACATCCCAAGGTTGAATCCCTGTGATATCACCTGCTGCACGTGGCTTGGCCATCTTCCTCAGCTTCCTGGTTCCTCCTCTGCAGCAGGGTGGCAAAGCGGTTGCGTGGTCGGGGTGGAGTGGTTAATGTTGGTTTGTCTGGATGCTGGTCTGACCTGGATCGCTTCTGACTGGATGACGAGTATTGCTGCAGCACATCCTCGTCGGATACATTGGAGTCTAAGGGAGAAAAACACAAGCACAGTTCAGATGAAAAAACGGGCTATACACTGCTGCTTTTAATTTTCTTTTTTACATCATTGTCTACATTCTGCTTTTTTTATATCATCCTACCTAATACATTGTTAGATAGCATATATTATAGCCGATAGCAGATAATTTAATTTCATAAAAGGAGGACTGGGTTTGGTAATCCTCTAACGAGCAAAAAATTTAACAAACTTTATCAAACTTAAGCTATAAATGTCAATGAACTTCACATTGACTATAAGGGGTTAAAAGGAGACAATAGTATTCCTTAAGTATTTTTTTCCATTTCAGTTATTTTAACATTTCTATTCTTTGCTTGTTTATTTTTGCAAATTTATCTATGTCTCTCAAAATTCAATAGCTTTATTGGCATCAAAGTTTAAAAGAAACGATTTGGCCAAAGAACAGTTGTGACGACCTTGTTCAGTCTGCCTGCGCGTGTCTGACTGTGCTCTCTCTCTCTTGCAGTTACTGGGAGTTGGCTGGTGGGCGGAGCTGGGAGAGAGTGCCTGCTAGTACCTGCCCTTTTGGGTTGGACCTGTACAGGGCATAAAGGACCACCCTTTTGGTCACACACTCTCTCCCAGCTGGGCCTGCTGCAGCCTCTTCAGCCTGTTTCCTTTATTTGGTATACTGCACCTTACAACACACATTACTCCATGTCTCACTCATCCACAGACGCCTAACATGACTGACACACTTCCTACTTGCACATGCCATCAGTTATTTGTGCTTATTTGTCTGAGTTAAATAAATTAACTTTTGATTGATATATCTGTGTGTGGCCTCCCTTTTGTTGCCGGCCTTGAGCCACTCGGTAACACAGTACAAAGTGGAAATTGATCAAATATTAGGACAATACACAAAAATAGTGTTATTAGCAATAACACAACATAGATAAAATATAGTATGTAAACTTGTCCAAATGGCTTATGTCTGGTGGAGGATGAAGGTGTACAGTGCAGCTTTTTTTTCCCTTTTTTTTGTGGCACAAAACCAACCCCTAAAATACATTCAACATATCATCCATAGTGCAAGAGAGAGTGAGAGTATGTGTGTGAGTGTGTGTCAAGATGCTACTTGGGATATTTTTGTTTTTCAGTTCAGTGATTTCAGTGTTTTAATTCTTTGTTCCTCAGTTTGTGTCATACATTTACATAATGTGCAGCTAAGTATTCTTTCTCTCCCCCTCCTGGAGACCAAAGGCATGTTCTGTAAAAAAGAAACAATACATTAAGATTAAGATTAAGATTAAGAAGCTTTATTGTCATTGCAAGGGGGTACAATGAAATTCCGTCTGGCAACATCTCCTTGTAGCAGCACTATGTCCTAGTCATAAAATATAATGTAATATAAACAGTGAAATAGTAAAAATAAGGTGCAGTTTAGAATATTTACAACAGATACAGACTGTAATAGTCAGTTTCAAGAGTGCAAGACAGTCAGTAGTCCAGGTAGTAGTGGGGGTGTATGTGTGCTTCTGAGGGGGCGGGGGGTGTTGCATGATTTCATTTTATTAAATTATTGGCAAAAAGATACCAACAACCTGCAGTCAAAAATCCATTCATATCCTGTGCCAATGAGCAACTCTAAATCTATGGATGTTCAAAAACCTTGTCAGTAAACTATTCCACAGCCTTACTTGAAATGATCATCGGCTGTCATCAACTTGTGACTTTTTTGTGCAGTAGAGGATTCGTTTACAGAGAGAGTAAAATGAATGTATTTGTGTTAAAACATACAGCAATCTAAACATTGCTTGTTAACAGCTCACCTTCTCGCAGTCTTTTCACCTGCAGTTCTCTGCAGGACAGCCTCAGACCATCCAGGCTGGTGATTCTCTCCTTCCCCCTGGTAGAGGCAGGCCTGTTTGGGGAGGCAGCAGGTGCTGGCTTTAAGCCTCCACTCCAGATACTGTGCCCAGTGGGGGCTGGTGAATCATTCCAGCTGCGACTACTGGGTTTAGAAAGCTAAAAGGACATTTGGAAAGTTGTTCTAAATAAAATGTGACACATAATTTGGATCATCAGATCTCCTTTAACTGACTATGATTTGATACCTGTGGAATGGGTTTGTCTGGGTTGAAGACGTCTATCTTCTCCATGGTGTTGATGTCAAGGTTTCCTAAGGCCATCTGCAAGCCCTGTTCATCTCCTAGATTGCTGGATTCAACATCATCAAGGACAGAACACTGTGCAAGTTATGAAGAACTTACAATTTCCCATTTCTAAATTAAATTTAACCAAGGATGACACTAAATAATTTCCATTAATTACTAAAGAGACATCATGTCCGGTGTGATCCAGGACAGGGGGATACAGTCCAGCGTAGCTGAGGGTGGCCGGGTCTATGTGCTCTGGGTACGGGTTGAGGGGTACAACCTTCCTCCTGACTGGGTCAAACACCAGCTGGTAGAGGAAGGTGTTATTGGCTCTGATGAATCCCGCGATGTACTGTTCAGGGACCACTAGATTCATCTTCAGGTACTGGCCCATCTTTCTGATCACCTGACAGAGCAACCAGAGCTCACAATAAACAGCCTGCCACTGGAGCACTGCTACAAGGTTTTACTAACTACTTTTTGTGATAAGGTTGGAATTAGTGCAACTCCTGATTTAAAACTTATAGACTCACTTTCTGTATATCAATTTGCTGAATATTTTATCAAAAAAATACCAGTAATTGTGTAGAGAACTTCATTACCACCTAACTTTATTAAAAATTGATTGATTTTAATTGTTTTTCTACAGTATTGTTACACTTAAAGCCTTTTCTGTATTTTCCAAAATGAGGACCTTTATATTGTGAAATATTTACTGTGTGATTGGAATGGTCCTTTAATATTCAATATTTGTTAAGTCAATTGAATTCCTCTGTACCGTTCTTTTTTGTTGGACTTATGCAATTCATTTAGATTCAATGTTTCTGTTCATAACTGGGTTTGAAAGTGACAGATTTGTACTAAAACATTTTATTAAATGTTACATTGTTTCTCAAATTTCATATCTCTATACTGAACACTTAATATTTTAAGTGCACAATTGCGCTAAGTGCGTTCACACTGCATAGTACAAGAAAATTGAGTGTACTACTGGCGCACTCAGAATGGTCCAAAAGTTGAGTGTGGAATGATGAACGCTTCACTTTCTCAATGGTTGCCATCTTTGTGACATAGTGGAAGCTACTTAACAAACTTTTGACATGGGGGCAAGGAGCCTTAGCTGGCTACAGTGAACACCTCTGCCTTATATGGATGTAAGTTATACGTGTTTTTTGCACTAAGTACCAATACTGTTGTCGAAAAGAAGCCATCAGTAATGTTTGTTGGGTCTGTAATGATTTGGTACCATGAACAATAATGCAAGTGCTAATGTTAGCTTACTACCTTACATTAGCATTCGTTAGCTAGCTAATTTGCTCATAGCTATGGCAGCACATTTTAATCAGCATGTTGTGGCGTAAATTTGGTTTTTGAGTAGGCAGAGATGGTGGTCAATTTTTGGCGATAATCCTCCACTAGGGCTGGGCGATAGAGCCAAAAATTCATATCTCTGTATTTACAGGCTGACTGGCGATACACGATATCCATCTCTGTATTTTCTATGAAATGGGCTACATGTTTTCAGTTGCAAGTCAAAGCCACATTTGAGATGTCACAAGCACTTTTATAAAAACAGACTGATGAAAATAAAATGCAAAAACAGGGATTTTTTCCTGTTTAACTTAACTTTAACTTTTTGTACACAGCACTGGGGCTACAGAAGTTTAAAGGTTTGCAGCATAGGACATAAAACTATAACATGAGTATAAAAGTATCAAGTAGGCATAAATCCATTGTAGTTTGGAACAATTAAAAATTTTTGTGGGGGAGTTAAATGTCAAATGAATATAGTGCTGGAAAGTGATTTAAATATTTTATTTATTTAGGCCATTAATCTTATTTATGCACATAGCATCAACAGAGAGGCTGAGGGAGGGAAGGAGCGAGAGACACTTTGTCTATGTTATACATGTCTTGTATATAAAATGGCTTTTTTTTAATTTTTTTATAAACAGATCTGTTTCCTGTACGTGTAACATATAGACGGATGTTGCACCGTAGACAAATTAACAGACAGACTAAACAGAGTAGCAGCTCTTTCTCTCTTTGTGTTTCTAGAGAACTGTACCAATGGAAGTATGCGATTTGGGACGCACAGTCTATGGCATGTGGGCTGAACAGTGGCCACAAGTGACAATTATGGTACAGTGGTTCATATTAGGATATGCTGCAACAGCACAAGTAGAGAAGAGTCATAAATCTGACTGAATAATCTTAACTTAAGGTATACTTACAAGCTTGTTCTGGCTCAATTCAGTCACGACTGATAACAGAGCTATCTCCATGAAAACTAAGAATTTGGGATGTAATTCAAAGCTTTGGAACAAGTTAGTCAATGGACCTTAAGTCAAGATCATGGTGTCAAACTACTATTTCCAAGGTCGAGTATGAAGCCTCACGCTCAAAAGTCACAACTGACTTATTGACGTCTGAAGAATAACTACTTGAAGATTGCCAACATTATACCAGAAGAAGGTGGTACCTGAGTGAAATAAATAAAGCAAGTCTACTTTATTATCTCTGCCAGGCATAAGCCTGGAGGAGATCATGTGTTTAGGCATGTGTGTGCATGTGTGAGTGTTTGTATCTGTCTGTCTATAGCAACACTGAACAAAAAATTAAGCACACTCGTTTCTGGTCCCATTTCTTACAGGTTTAAGTTAAAGTTCTAAGACATTTTTATGCACACCGTTTACTTAGATGACATGAGCAAGGAAGGAGACACAGCCAGCAGATGTCCATAACAGCGGAGCAGTTTATTTCTCAAACACAGGTATTTAAATTACCAGTGTGGGTCATTACGGGTATGTTTGTGGGGTTAACTAGGACACACACATCGTGGCCGTCCTACAAAAGGAAATAAGAAAAAGAGGACGGCAACATATTTAGCCTCTCATTAGCTAAACTGATTGCCCCTGAAAGAGGCATTCCTTTCCTGGCAGGGACGTTCAATTTATCCTACCTGCCTCAGGTGGGTCAGGTGATCTCAGGTATCTCTGTCTGGGGACTTTTGACACACTCAACAGATATAAATTTCTCTCAAATTCTGGCTGCAAATTTGTTAAAATCTGTGTTAGTGAGCACCTCTCCTTTTCCAAGATAATCCATCCACCTGACAGGTGTGACCTATGAAGGTGTTGATTAAACAGCATCATTACTACACAGCAGACATGGGGGAAAGTCACACATGTACAAGTAATAATAATAATAAATTTAATTTATAATAGGGATGTAACGATACCAGAAACTCACGATACAATATTATCACGATAAAGAGTCCACAACACGATATATATCACAATATTTATACAAGGGGGAAAAAAGAGAAAAGTTATTGTTAAAAATAGCTATTTTATTCAAAAATAGTGCATGTACACTGTACAGCATGTTATTTTTAACTTGGAAGCATATCATAAACAAATCAACACACAGTTGAACATGTGCTTTCATTTCCCCCCTATTACTGCTAGGCAGGCAGACATTAAAGTGCCATAACAAAGCCATGTCAATTAAAACTATAGTGACAGAATATGAAAATGGAAACATTCAGTATTTTTTAACCTACTCTGAACAAAAGCAGTGTAGTACTATTACTAGAAAGTCATCTGAATGACATCAAATTATGAGGATAGAGTAGTCTTAATATTCATCAAATGTACAGAACTTAGAACAATCAGACCCTGCAACAACAACAAAATTAACAAATTAGAAATAATGTAAACTCAATAACACACAATCCCTCACTCACAGATACACAGAGAGACAGAGAGAGAGGGAGAGGTGGGTAGAGATGTGTGTAAAAGGAAACCAAAATAAATAAAGCCCAGCCATTTCCCTGGAAATCATAGAAAAACTCAAAAACACACATTCACTCAGTTTGTTCACGCCAGGTTGACAATCTTGACATCAAGGAGACCCTAACACTTTCTCAGAACAGGAGATGAGGAGAGGAAAGCTCTGGTCCTGTGCTTTCATGTGAGATGCGTGGCATTTCTGTGCGACCCTGCATTCGCGAGTAATCCATCCAAAAGTAATGTTTGTGCAAAGCTGTATGAAAGCTTTGTTATACATTATTTTAGTGTAACTTTATACTTTTTTTTCGCTGTGAAAACACTGGACTACCAACAAGTGCTTGGCCTTGTCGGAAAGCTACAATTCCGCTGTTTCACGTGATATGCGTGGCTTCTCGCTATGACGGTCGCGGAGAAAATCCACAGAGAAGAATAATCAATCTCCTTACTTTTATTCGCTGTTTCCTCCGGTCATGCACGGGTCAGAGTTGGAGGCTGAGAGGCTGAGCTTCACGAGTCTGCTCTCACCTGCGCGCGCAGTTGCATGCAAAGGATTATGGGGATTGTAGTCGCACAGTCATATTACCGGCTCTGTAGGAGAATGCAGCTATATAACTACCGTGGCATTCCCACGACGGTATCGAGAATTAATTTTATCGCGACACCGCAAAATTCGACATATCGTTACATGCCTAATTTATAAAGCATTTTTCATTTATAAAAAAAAAATCTCAAAGTCTACAGCACAAAGTAAAAAGGTAGGTGCAAGCAGGTCTCAAGTCTTTGTGGCGGCAGTAGCTCAGTCCATAGGGACTTGGGTTGGGACCCGGAGGGTCGCCTGTTCAAGTCCCCGTCCGGACCAAAATATGGAGTGTGGACTGGTAGCTGGAGAGGTGCCAGTTCACCTCCTGGGCACTGCCAAGGTGCCCTTGAGCAAGGCACTGAAACCCAAATCGCTCAGAGCGCCTGTCATGGGCAGCCCTGCTCTGACATCTCTCCACTTAGTGCATGTATTGGTCCTGTTTGTGCATGTGTGTGCTCGGACCTGTGTGTAATTGCCAACAGAGTGAAAAAAAATGAATTTCCCCTCTGGGATTAATAAAGTATATAAAGAAATTTACCTTCAAGTCTCAAACAAGTCCCAAGTTAGTTGTGGTGAAAAGCAAGTCTCAAGCAAGTCAAGTCCCTGCTATAAGTCAAGCAAGTCAAGTCGAGTCATTGCTCAGGTCAAGCAAGCACATAGAGCAAACATCTCCTCACGATCCGCTAGCTACAGCTCTGAACATGCTGTGATAAAGTCCGGTCTCTGTAGGCAGCCCAGGCTCCGCAAATGGCAACAAAAACATTTGGGTCCAGGCTGTACCAACCAGCCAGCATGAGACCAGCAAAAGCAAGCACACACGTGAATGTGGTGCCCAGAGAGGCAGTTAGAGCTACAGGCTACAATGACAGGGCTCTACGCTAACCTTTTTCACTAGGAGGACATGTGCTCCTAACTGAAAAAATTTAGGAGCACAGAGAGAAATTTAGCAGCGCAGTGAAAATTTTAAATAACACATGTAATAGGAAAACAACAAAATACAAATGCTACTCTGGAGCCACCCTCTGGTCCATCAAGTGTGGTAAGGGCTCAGCACACACACACAGGGCTACATGGGGCTTACTGCTCTACTTTTAGACACAAAGGATATCTTTAGTCCACTGGCTTTTGTAGTTGGGTTGCCTGGCACGCTTAGCTGAGTTCATTGGATGAACTCAGCTAAATTTTACTAGTCACTTCGAAAAGCTAGCTCCGCTGTGTTTGATAACATTGTTCAACGTAAACAGAAGTGCAACCCAGCAGTGTTTAGTATGCCTTTAATATTGAATTAAAGCCAAGTCCTTTCGAGTCATCTGTCTCAAGTCAAAGTCAAGTCTCAAGTCATGAATACAAAGTCAAGTCGAGTCTTTTATCAACGTTAGTCAAGCAAGTCTCAAGTCATCATATTTGCGACTTGAGTCTGACCCCATCTCTGCTACACAGGTGTGACATGGGATTGTTAGAATAAAAGGACAATCTAAAATGCGCAGTTTAACCTTGATAAAAGACATTTATTAGGATTTTGCATGAGTAGCGCTACAAAAATGCATTTTTTGGTTACAGATACCCCAAAGAATCAGTTAGTATCTGGTGTGACACCATTTGTCTCCTGCAGTGCGACACACCTCCTTCACACAGAGTTGATTGTGGCCTGTGGAATGTTGGTCCACTCCTCTTCAGTGGCTGTGTGAAGTTGCTGAATGGCAGTGGATGAATGGCATGACAATGGATCTCAGACTATTGTCACAGTATCTCTGTGCATTCTGCCATCAATAAAATGCCCCTGTGTTTGCTGTTTGTAGCTTATGCTGGCCCATAGCATACCTCCACTGCCACCATGGGGCACTTTGTTCACAACATTGGAAATGACACAGTGCTATACAGTGTCTGCCATTTGCCGGTACAGTGTAAACCGGGATTCATTTGTGAAGAGAACCCCTCTCCAAAGTGCCAGACGCCATCGAAGGTGAGCAGCCCACGCAAGTCAGTTACGATGATTAACTGCTGTCAGGTCAATATCCTGGTGAGGATGATGAGCGTGCAGATGACCTTCCCTGAGACGGTTTCTGACAGTTTGTGCAGAAATTCTTCAGTTGTGCAAACCAATTGTTGTATCAGCTGTTCAGATGGCTGCTCTCAGGCGATGTTACAGGTGAGCATGCTGGATGTGGAGGTTCTGGGCTGGAGAAGTTATGCATCGCCTGTCGTTGTGAGGCTGGTGGATGTAATGCCAAATTCAAGGAAATGACGTCTTATAGTAGTGAAATGAACATTCAGTTCATTGGCAACAGCTCTGGTGGACATTCCTGTCAATGGCATGCTCCTTCAAAACTTGGGACATCTGTATCATAGTTTTGTGTGATCAAACTGCACATTTTAGAGTGTCCCTTTATTGTGACCATACTAGGACACACCTGTGAGGTAAAGATGCTGTTTTATCAGCATCTTGATATGCTTGATATCTTGGAAAAAACACAAGTGCTCACTAGCACGGATTTTAGCAAATTAGCAACCAAAACTGAGAGGAATATATCTATTGAGTGCACTGAAAAGTTTTAGCTCTTAAATTCAACCTGTGAAATTGGAAGCAAAAAAATGTTACATTTAAAATTGTGCTCAGTGTAATCTGGCACACTACTGGATCAATCGGCCTGATATTTTGTGTGGACATGTATGACTGTATGGTCAAGAATCTCTCGTGGTTGCTGTGATTCAAAATTGTTGAAAAATCTATTTGACTGTTTTATACCATAATTGTCTGCTGACTCCTCACTCCTTTTGGCAAAAGCACAACTTTTGGATTTACAAACAAAGCTTTTGGATTTGCATCAATATATTTTTAAAGCAGCTGTGCAGAACTTTTTACCATTTATAAAACTGTCCCTAGTTCCTATCACCCCCTCTTGAAGATCCGCATATTTATTTGAACCCAACAGCGACAAAAAAGCCTTTCTCTATATGGCTATTTAGCGTAGCCTCGGTCGGGTCAGACACAGCATAAGTCAGCAAACCAGAATACGGCACCCGGAGGTGGAAGTAAGTCTGCAAGCCCGCAGAGGTCCGCAGCCATTAAACCACAGAAGAAGAAGGAGCCGTGTTTACGAGTAGGATTTAAGAAACAGGTTAAATGACATGTAGTAGGGAGTAGTGAATGATTTCGGACACATTGCACACTCTTGTACAGTAGGTGGTGGTATGCACATAGAAGTTGTTTGCGATCCACCAATAAATTGAGAGAAGAAGAAGAGCCGTGTTTACAGAGAGTGTTCTTCGAGCAAGCAGTACCCAATGGGCATTGCTGAACACAACAGTTTTACCAGATGTATCTATAAGGACTTGGTTGTACTTTTGATGTCATGGCAGATAAAGAAGGAGCACCATCTAAAAGAAAAAGAACAGAAGAACAGAAGAAGGCTAAACAGGACAGTGACAGGGCTTGAGCCCAAACGTGTGTAAACCTCGGTCGGGCATTCACCAAGTGGAGAGAGCTGAGAGATTTGAAAGGTTTTAAAACTGATCCCGAGTTGGCCCTTTTCCTAATCGACAGGTATGTAATTTTTGTTTTTATTTAGAGAATATACCGCAACTTGTTAGACGTTGTTTCACTTCAATATATGATGACATGGAAGTTAAGCATAAGCATAAGAAATTCAGAGCTACACCAGTACATTTATGATTTTCCTGTCGCTCTCCAAAACAAATGCATGCGGTAATTGCCGGCTGCAGTCGAGATTTTACGAATGAAGCCGAAGGCTGCAGTCGGAATTTTATGACACCAGGCTGTGGGTGTCATACCGCTTCAACCAAAAGTGGCGCTATAATCAACGGAAACAGAAAGTTCCGCACAGCTGCTTTAATTATAAATTTCTTTCAAATTTTTTTGATTGTAGTGTTGGTATTGGTATTTCAAACCTAGTCTGTTTAATTAATAATTACCTAATAAAGACACAAAGTAACCTTAATGAGTCTCATTTAAAATCTGTTGGACCTCCTAGGAATGCTAATACCATTTTTTTTCCATAAGTTGCATTTTAAGACCTTGGAGTTTATTTTGTTTGTGTTCGTTTTCCAGGCTTTAGTCAGATGACTGAAAGATACTTTTCTCAGAAGCAGGTTTGTTCATCAGTTTTTCTTAAAAGCCAGGTACCTTTGGAATCAAAACTTCAAATCAATGCACAATCCAACTTCACTATCTCACCATCTGTACTCACCTTGAGGATATCAGGGTCTTTGGCCAATCGCAGCAGTTTGCATGCCTTGCCTAGGCCGATGCCATGTAGGGAGGCCAGATAGTCACATCCAGAGAGGATGCACATGTAGCGAAACTTCTCCTCTGTAAAAACGTTGCCCAGAGCACGACAGCGGCCCATGTTAGTTTGGTCTATCTCCAGTCCATTGCCCTGCTTGTCCATTTTAAGGATGACCTGCATGATTGTGAAAGATGATTGATTTAGAAGTTGGTGGCAAAATATGAGCAGTGGTAGCCATGAGGCCATTGCTTTTGTCTCATGTATGGTTTGCTGCAAACAGGATTAACACTTAAGCGTTTGATTTATTCAACTTCTACTAACACTTGTCTGATATAGTCTGTTGTTTCTCTGTTTCACAGGCATGCAAACTTGTTCTTCTTCCTGTAGCACGCAAAGTTTTAGTACCCTTCTCCGCCCATGCAGAAAGTCTGAATGATGACAACAGTGGATAGCATTCCTTGTCCATACAACCATCAGGGCCCAGTTCTTTAAATGTACCAAGCAGCTCTCAGGCTAAGCTAAAGCAATCTGATGATTAATTTGTAAATCCCGATTTAAATTATGTCGGATTATTCATATTGGCTGAGAGCTGATCATGTGTTTGTGGTTACATCTAGTAGGTGTGTTGAGAACCTACTACTACTACTACTCCCCAGACAGAGTGCTGAGTGGAGTGAATATATGATTAACTCGACTGTTTGTTAATTCATGTAGAAATATAACGCTCCCTTGCTCTGAACAACAAGGCTCTCATTTTAGTATGGAGCATCAGACTGAATTTGCGAATGCACCATGTCAGGTCACTCACCCTCCAGGACCATGAGTGTTACTTTGATAAGTATATACTGACCAGACCAGACTGGCCGACCTGTATGCTCTCACTCAGTGGATGGATGATTTGACAGGATTGCTGAAGGTTGGATGGCCGGCTTTGTGGTTGATTACTATCCCAATCTTACAAAGAAAGACGACATGAATGGTTTCCTTCAGTTTGTTTTGCCATTGAAGCTAACGCACTAAAAAGTACGCATAATGGAGAAATCCAATATTCCTCTTAATACATCACCAATTTCTGAGGAGGTGGACATGATAACCCTTAATACACATAACATTAGTCATCCCTACAACAGTAAATACTTTTTTCCTAACCTGATATGAAGTGTGCCCTGCACATGCGAGCATTTTTGATGATCGCCTCCTTCCAGTCCTTTCGTCTTATTGCATTCAATTAATTCAAAAAGTTTTGAGCCATGACTCCCTCTACTCTAGCACCCAATAACAACAATAACAAGGTGACATTTTGTAGCCTACAGCCCTGTGGGGGAAAGTCATGTTTTGCCTCCAGCTAACAAACTGTTGTCATTTTGACGTCTGCCCTAAAAGGGTCTAAAGCCCAATATCACAAATCACAGCTGAGGGGCTGCTTTTTTAAAAAAAATGAATTTTATATACTTTCTTAAAATTAATTTTTTTCTCTCCGTTGTCATTAACACACAGGTCCGAAATACACACACATGCACAAACAGGACCTATATATGCACAAAGTGGAGAGATGTCAAAGTGGAGAGACATAATAATAATTAACATAATAACATAATATAATAATTACAGATCATGATGATATAAAATTACCTGCATTTTTTTTTATCATTTCCAAATCAATATTATATCAACACTCTTCTATTATAAGTCTGCAAAAGCGAGTCATTTGTAATTGAAAATTACTTCATGTATGTGGTTCTCAGTAAACTGTCTGGGTCATGACCCAGCTAATCGTCAATAACTAATAATAAACGCCTCCCTTGGATCTCGATACCTTTTTGCAGCCAAATGCCAGCAGGTCAGAGTCTTCTGTGATGACAGCCTGGGCCAAACCACATTTAGTGAGGTAAGCTAACTGAGCATCAGCTTCATATGGGGCCACAACACAGTCCACTCCTCTTGCTCGTGCAGCCTGGTTAAAAACAAACCCAAAAAAATGAGAGAGAAAAAGAAAAAATGTCCTACATAAATTCATCAACATGCAACATTGATGAGTGTAACCACAAAGAATTAAAAAAAAAAAGTAACAGAGAAACAAAGAAAGCAAAGCATGTATCTGTAGGGTTCAACTGGACAAATTACATTTTCATAACCTTTCGTGGCCGAACCTGATGTTTTAAATCATTAGTGAATGATTAATATTGTATAAACACAATTCTAAAAACACACTGTTCAAGACATAAATAATGCTAATAACTAAGGGTGCACGATATTGGATTTATCCGATATACCAACAAATAACAACTCATTTGGCCGATAACTGATACTAGGGCTGGGCGGTATATCGATTTTTTACATTGTAACGATATATTTTCAAGCAAGATACAGATTTAGACAGTACCATTTGTTTTGTACTGTTTGATATAGGGTCAAGTTGCATTACATAACACATACCAGTGTTCATCTCTCCTGTCTCACACTCTCTGCACAGCTCCACCCCACTCACTCACTCACAGTTTCTCCATCAATACTCAGAGAGACAGAGCTGCTCCATCAGTCTGTGAGATGAATGAAGTTACCGCAGTAGCACATGTACACTACTGTGGGCCTTTTCCTCTGTAACTTAAGCCACGTCCATTCAAGCCATGTTGTGCAGACTTAGGTTTCAGTTATCAGTTTACACACGTGGTGCGACGCCGAGCTGCGAACCTACTCCTCCTCCAGAGTAGCCGGGCCGCCTGCACTCAAGCTGTGACGTCTTGCCCACCGCAGCCAACATCCTACCGGACTGTTTCTCCCCTTTAAAACAAGCCATGTGTGTTGTGAGACTCTCCTCACCACTGTCAGCAGGAGACGAGAGAGAAATGTGTTTTTAAAAGTCTGTGTGTGTTCAGCTCTCAGTGCTTTTGTAGCTTCTAACTGAATCTCTGTGGTTTGGAGTTTAGTTTCTCTCCTGCGTCTTGTTTTTACTTTACATATCTGATTTATTTTACTGTTTATGTCGGCCAACCACCGTATTAGAAGTTGTGTGAAGTTGCTGCTCGAAAATTCAACTTTTCCTTATTTTGCTGGTTCATAATAAGTTTTTATATGACAAAAATAACAGAGGACTTTTATTTTAAAGACTCTAGAGGAATTAAAATATGTTTATTACCGACTTATCAAAACTTTATTTGTGGCTTCTCTTCAATTAAGACAAGTCTAATAATACCGCAGGGAGGAAGAGTAAAAGCAGAAACAGCCACAATGAGATGTTGATGAAGAGCTGCAGCCAACAGGCTCTTACTGCACCTCTGCAAACAGCTCACCTCCAACAGGTAAACTTCTTTTACATGCCCTGCTATAGAAAAACACATGCAGCAAAAAGAACAGGGGACTTCAGCCATGGATCAATTTGCAACTGAACATGTAGCCCACTTAGTACAAAATACCGGGGGAGATAACTGATACCATTGTCATATTGTTGTCATATATCTGTGTTGTATGGAAAATGATGCAACTTTCTTTCCTGAATCCTCTGACTGAATATACCTCTTTACCTGTATGCTTGTACTCTAGTTTATCTTTATTTCTTTGTATTTTCGTTTATGTAGGCCTACATATATAATACCCTGGTTTAAGACCATGTATTTGTGTTTGCATTGTGTAGTAGTATTATGTCATCATCTGATTTATATGCATCTATAAAGAACATTTCCTTTAAAATTCGAAAAGCCCTAAGGAAAATAAGAATTCACAGCCTTTTGTTTTCTAAGGGTGTTTTACTTCATGGGGTTTGTAAGAAAATGTAAAACAGAGTTTACTTAGTAGAGTTCAACTTGAATGGGAGGTAATTTGCTTGTTAAACTGTCAGCCCATGACGGGGACAAAGAAGAAGAAACGGGTCAGAACTGGCAACCCTGGAGAGACAGTAGTATGGAGCAGAGCAGCCAACAGTTAGGAGGAAAAAGTACTCAACAGTGAGCCAACAAGAACTGACTGCAAGCATGGGAGCATGCACAGTGGGGGCTTTTGTTTATTGACTGTGAATGACTGGAAAAAAAAAAAAAAAACACAAAAAAAAAACCATAACTGCTGTGCCACAAGAACTGTGTAGACAGTTTAGCCCGCCCAGCCTGGACTTTCACTTGCTAGCTGTTAGCTTGCTTAGCAGTTGAGTTTATGTTGGTCCGTGGATCAAGAGAGGACAACGCTACATCAGAAGACACACAGCATTGCAGGAGTCATCCTTGGACATTGTGGGGTTTTTTGGCATCAGCCTTTGGATTTAAAACTGCTTTCTGTGAAGGACCCTGTTGGGCAGCGGCCTCTGGATTTACTGCAGTCAGGACAGTGCTGTGTCGTAAGTTACTCGACTCTGAACGCACGGATTCACTCCTCTGTGAACGTCTATGCAGTATGTACACTGGTGCTCAGACCAATGGGAACACATCTGTGGGCCCAATTGTTTTATAGTTCAATATGTATTAATACACTGAAATGACAAACTAATTTGGGTCTCTGATTACTTTATGGTGGTTGTGAATATTACCTTCACAGAGTGGTATCAGCTTTTCATACAATACTGTCAGTCCTTTTGCACCAGAAAGTTAGTATCATAAGCACTGAAGACATGTTATCTTTGGTTGACGGTCCTTTCATTTTTATTTGCAAGCATGCCAGATTTATATGTTCTGCTTTGTTACTCTAGTGGTAATTAATGCAGTATGAGCCAAATGTGAAAGGGTTACTCCTCTGTTTATGTGTTTTAATTTTTGTCATTTATATTCTTCATACATTCATGTATCACACCTTTATATCTTTCAGATATGTCGTTATGTTACCAGTGATGTGCCAATATTATTGTGCATCCCTAAAAGGAATTCATAAATTACTTTGGCCTTCCAGAAGATATAAGTTCTCACCTTAATAAGATTATGAGCCATGGTTGGGGTGATGTTTACACAGCGAGAAAAACAGTCTCTGGCCTCGGACACTTTGCCTTCACGTAGTAGCTGTCGGCCTCTCTGAAGGTTGACTTCTCTGCGACTGAAAGATGCGTGAATGAAACAGAATGGCACTCAGAGTGAAATCTTAAATCAGATATTAAAACAAAATGAGAACTACAGAAAGATAATTTGTTCTAAAACTAAAAGTTATGTTTATATATAAACCTACAAAAAGACAGCTGTCTAGAGATAATGATGCTATGGCACCACTGTGTAGGAGCAAAGAGAAAAGTAGACCAAACACAGACACAGCCCAGCTTCCTTGTTAAGGATAACGACAAGGTTTTGGATGTCTTTTTGTCTGTAACATTAAGTACACTGCTCAAAAAAATAAAGGGAACACTTAAACAACACAATGTAACTCCAAGTCAATCACACTTCTGTGAAATCAAACTGTCCACTTAAGAAGCAACACTGATTGACAATCAATTTCACATGCTGTTGTGCAAATGGAATAGACAACAGGTGGAAATTATAGGCAATTAGCAAGACACCCCCAATAAAGGAGTGGTTCTGCAGGTGGTGACCACAGACCACTTCTCAGTTCCTATGCTTTCTGGCTGATGTTTTGGTCACTTTTGAATGCTGGCGGTGCTTTCACTCTAGTGGTAGCATGAGACGGAGTCTACAACCCACACAAGTGGCTCAGGTAGTGCAGCTCATCCAGGATGGCACATCAATGCGAGCTGTGGCAAGAAGGTTTGCTGTGTCTGTCAGCGTAGTGTCCAGAGCATGGAGGCGCTACCAGGAGACAGGCCAGTACATCAGGAGACGTGGAGGAGGCCGTAGGAGGGCAACAACCCAGCAGCAGGACCGCTACCTCCGCCTTTGTGCAAGGAGGAACAGGAGGAGCACTGCCAGAGCCCTGCAAAATGACCTCCAGCAGGCCACAAATGTGCATGTGTCTGCTCAAACGGTCAGAAACAGACTCCATGAGGGTGGTATGAGGGCCCGACGTCCACAGGTGGAGGTTGTGCTTACAGCCCAACACCGTGCAGGACATTTGGCATTTGCCAGAGAACACCAAGATTGGCAAATTCGCCACTGGCGCCCTGTGCTCTTCACAGATGAAAGCAGGTTCACACTGAGCACATGTGACAGACGTGACAGAGTCTGGAGATGCCGCGGAGAACGTTCTGCTGCCTGCAACATCCTCCAGCGTGACCGGTTTGGCAGTGGGTCAGTAATGGTGTGGGGTGGCATTTCTTTGGGGGGCCGCACAGCCCTCCATGTGCTCGCCAGAGGTAGCCTGACTGCCATTAGGTACCGAGATGAGATCCTCAGACCCATTGTGAGACCATATGCTGGTGCGGTTGGCCCTGGGTTCCTCCTAATGCAAGACAATGCTAGACCTCATGTGGCTGGAGTGTGTCAGCAGTTCCTGCAAGACGAAGGCATTGATGCTATGGACTGGCCCGCCCGTTCCCCAGACCTGAATCCAATTGAGCACATCTGGGACATCATGTCTCGCTCCATCCACCAACGCCACGTTGCACCACAGACTGTCCAGGAGTTGGCGGATGCTTTAGTCCAGGTCTGGGAGGAGATCCCTCAGGAGACCATCCGCCACCTCATCAGGAGCATGCCCAGGCGTTGTAGGGAGGTCATACAGGCACGTGGAGGCCACACACACTACTGAGCCTCATTTTGACTTGTTTTAAGGACATTACATCAAAGTTGGATCAGCCTGTAGTGTGTTTTTCCACTTTAATTTTGAGTGTGACTCCAAATCCAGACCTCCATGGGTTAATAAATTTGATTTCCATTGATAATTTTTGTGTGATTTTGTTGTCAGCACATTCAACTATGTAAAGAACAAAGTATTTAATAAGAATTTTTCATTCATTCAGATCTGGGATGTGTTATTTTAGTGTTCCCTTTATTTTTTTGAGCAGTGTATATATTGGTGGAGGGGTTGTTTGGTCTTACCTGTCAACAGGTCTGTACATTCCTTTCTGCACCTTCACACATAAACAATGTTGCTCTGTTGCGGTTTTGGAATGCAGTCCTTCAAATAAAGCAATCTTTGTCTGAGCGTGTGTGTCATCAGGTATGAAAAACAATGGACTGTGTTTTGTACAGGCCAGCAGTTCGTCTCAGAAACTCTGGATCATATCAGAGTTCCATTTTCTGTTATGATCACATTTCTTTCTTCAGACAGGATTCCCTGTCAAGCTTGTTTCTGTTTGAGAGATGGTGCAATTCCAATCTACGCTCTCTCCTTTCTCAACTCTGGCCTCAGTATTTAGTAGTTTTCAACCAAATAAGCCCTTTCCAGATACGTTAGCTACTTGTTTCCTCTCCTGAATACAGTATTGGTAAGTTGTGTGAAAAACCCAACCTTACTGGCACTCACTGGATCTTCCCCAGTGTCTTCACATATCTGATCTGGCGTAGCAACTAACAATTATATTTGATTAATTAGGAGTTCAAGTTTTTCTTCAGAAGTGTTTGTACAAATTCTCATGAGATGGTACATCGTAAACACATGACACTTTGCCAAATGATTGGAAGTGTGACCAAATGCTGCCCAAAACGTATGACCCCAATGAGTCTGATGCTGGTACTGTAATTGACATAAAAAAAATATCAGTTTTGGAAAGGCCATGGTCCTCACATTGTTAATCAGGCTGACTTTAAATTTGACATACAAGTTCAGCTCAATGTGCTCTACAAAAGCCTCAAGAACCTTTGAAGCCTGCCTGACTAGATTTTCCACCATTTTTAAATTTTTGAAAGACACGTTTTTGACATCTGTCTCAAGCTTATCAAAAGTTATCAAAAGCTTTTGATATCTTATTTCATTTTGAAGAAACGGACCAATGGGCCGTGGCTCCGCACATAAATAGCTCTAACTCCAGTATATGGGGTCAGATCAGTCTCATAATGAATGAACTCATGCAAGGTTTCTTACGAATACACATGCTCTGGTTCGCAGTTGTATTTGAGACTCACTAATGCACACCATCTGTTTTGCAAATGCACATGCTCTGGTTCACAAATAAAATTTTTATGCAAACTTGTAACATAAATTCGGAAATGCACACGCTCTGCTTCACAAATATTATTTTGAGGCACACTTGTAATATAAATTCACAGATCATGCGAATCGCTGAATGTGCATTTACAAACTGCATCTCATTTGTGAACCTCTCTACATTTGTGAGAGAAATCTGTGTGGTGAATTTTGAGACTCCCCTGATGTCGCAGGTCAATGAACGTCACCATTGGCTGATAAATCTGTCAATCAAATTCATGATTCTGATTGACAGATTCATCAGTTAATCAGGTGTGTTCGCTTTCAGCCAATCGTATGGCTCCTTACATTTTCTCCACACTTTTAAACCAGTCGCAGAGCTACTGAGCTACTGTTTGCAGTGTTCAATCAAGACGCGCTAAACTGAAACGGTGGAAGAGACATGGATCAATCTCAACCTGTAAGTAACGCATTTTTCTTATTATCCCCTCGTAAATCATGCAGTGTTGTTGAATTATAATGAGTTGAAGCGTTCTGCTTAGCCAAGTAACGTGTTTGAATGAACATAAACTATGAATACACCCTATATAAGGAGCCATACGATTGGCTGAAAGTGAACACACCTGATTAACTGATGAATCTGTCAATCAGAATCATGAATTTGATTGACAGATTTATCAGCCAATGGTGACGTTCATTGACCTGCGACATCAGGGGAGTCTCAAAATTCACCACACAGATTTCTTTCACAAATGTAGAGAGGTTCACAAATGAGAAGCAGTTTGTAAATGCACATTCAGCAATTCGCATGATCTTTGAATTTATATTCCAAGTGTGCCTCAAAATATTTGTGAAGCAGCGCATGTGCATTTCTGAATTTATATTACAAGTTTGCATGAAAATTATATTTGTGAACCAGAGCGTGTGCATTGAGAAACAGATTGTGTGCATTAGTGAGTCCAAAATACAACTGTGAACCAGAGTGTGTGCATTTGCGAAACAGATCATGTGCATTTCCGAATTTATATTACAAGTTTGCATAAACATTATATTTGTGAACCAGAGCGTGTGCATTGCGAAACAGATTGTGTGCATTAGTGAGTCCAAAATACAACTGTGAACCAGAGCATGTGCATTCGTGAAAAACCCTGCGCGAGTTCATTCATTATGAGACTGATCTGACCCCATATCATTACCATTTGGCCAATCATCAGGAAACTTACAGGATATGTCCACATTAGTACCTGACACATACCATAAAGTTTCATTCAATATGATCTCAAGGGGGCGCCATAAATGCAAAACTTGAGCATGGTATAACACATGAAAGGAAACTGTCCAATCACTACAAAATCGCAGGATTTGTTTTATTACAACGTTGAACCATGTGTGTAAAATTATTTCAAAAATATCAATAGGGGACGCCATCAATTCCAAATAAATGCAATCGCCTGGTGCAAAATTTGGCCATAAATCAAAGACAGTTTGTCCAAACGTCACCAGACTGGATGGATATTTTTAATTATGCTATTAAAGCACATCCCCAAATTGTTTCTGAAAATGACCAATAATAAATAAATAACAAATAATAAATACATTTAAAAAAAAAAATGAATTGTTATCTTTAATGTAGGTGTTGTACGCTGTCAAAGGTCTTGATTCTTGCAACTTTTAGCCAGCCATGGTGGCTTGAACCCCGAAATCACCACTTGAGGCTAAAACTGGTCAGTTATTTTTTAGATTAATCCCTTAATGGTTTGCTCCTTAAAATGTCCAAAAATAATATTATGTTGCCCTCAGTATATGTGCTGTGATACACCTTGGCAGTTAGACAAACTCCTTCCTGACATCACAACTCTGGAGACAGTTGTCCATTGTCCACAGGTTTATTGACGTAGGAAAGAGTAAAACTAAAACACACAGAAGGCATAATGAATAAAAATAAATTGCTTTGCTTTTAATCACTACTTTTACATATTTATTGCTTTATTTACCAACATATGTTCCTGTAAACCATTGTATTTTAACACATTTTAACGTATCATCAACTATTTATTCACATTTATTTGCATTTATTGTCTCATATGAATTTTAACAACAGTCATAGCGGAGTAGTCATTAACTATAATGACTCAATAGACTTTCTGCATAAAACTTCCCAAAACTAGACATTGTTACAAAAAATAATCATCTGCAATCATTAATAACAATAAAACAAATCAATACATACCAACGATGCCATCAAAGGGCATAAGATGTAGGCAGACTCAACTGGATAGGAAAACTAACAAAAAAACAGTGGCTCAGAGCCATGCTTCTCCTCACTTCCTGATTATAAGTCACCTGACATGTTACATGTATTTCCTGTTTCAAAATAAAACGTACAACATAAAGATTTGACAATTGTAACAAAACACTCCCCGCCTGGCGTGGATACACGCCACTCAATAAATCCTACATAGTCCACTTCACTGGGCCTCTGGGGGGAGAAGAAGCACTACCTCAGAAACAGGCCTAAGAAAGAGTTTAGTCACTCCTGTTCGTGTGACCTTGACCTCAACCTTTCGCACCTTCCCGTCTTTGCTGAGAAAGGTATGCGTTACCAGACCAAGAGGCCATTCATTCCTTGGTATTTGGCTGTCCTTGAGGAGAACAACACTTCCTGGATTGATGTTCGGGTGAGTGGACTGCCACTTCTTGCATGCCTGTAGTGTTGGGAGGAATTGCTTTCGCCACCTGTCCCAGAAGGTGTTGGACAGGTGCTGGACCTGCCGCCACTGGTGCTTGTAGAGGTCTGAGACTCCAAAATCTCCAGTAGGAGCAGAAAGGACATTTACTTTTTGAGTGAGAAGAGCAGCTGGGGTGAGTATAAATGAGTCCTTAGAGTCAGTTGTCACAGGAACAAGAGGCCTGCCATTTATAATGGCCGCCACTTCTGCCATGAAAGTCACCAGCACCTCATGGATTTGTCCTTCAGCTGAAGGAACATAGAGTCTAAGATTCTCCTTTCAAGACCAATCATT